ATTTTCGTCAGCGTCAATACTTAATTGGGTTTAATTTACTTACTTTAATGCGTTTTTCTAAGGTACATAAACTTTTAGGATTGACTGTATAGCCAATACATCCTTAAATGTGAACAAATATATATATTACTGTATGCAATAATGAATCAATTTGTTTTTTATGCACAGGATTATTTTAATTTTTGTACCCATACGTAATTCACATTTCTAACAACCACAAAAATAACGTTTGGGCAAATAGGTAATCAATTATTCACCAAACTTTTTAAATTCGTTTTGACAAGCAGAACGTGAGACTACATTATATACATAAAACTGGATATCGATGATTGGTAAACTAGCATTGGATCTTCAACTCAACAGTTCAAAGGGATGGATACTATGCGCTTTGATTGGACGATAAAGAAATACTGTGGACAATGTATTCCAGTTTTCTAATGGATCGCTTGCCGTACAATAATGAACCCGATGCCTAAGAGCACGCCATTACAAGCTATTAACTTTTCACGTCGCTTCATCCATTTAATGCGTATAAATTATTCTAACTTGCGAACTACCTTCAGCCCCGCGTTACTGGCGAAGAAAACAACAGTATAAAAAGAAATGGGAATTAATTGGCCTCTTATTCGCATTCCTATGAATTAATTAAGCTTGATCTTTGCAGCAATTTACCATTAATGGAAATATGAAAACTTGTTCTAGAGTCAGTGATTGACACAAAGTAAGTACCAGCTGCATGAAATAGTTCAATCGACGGTGAGAACTCTTAATGAACTGTTCTTGAATATCGAATAGACCGAATCATTGAATTCTTTTACAACAAGGCATTCATTGCAATCGAAATATTCTATTATTGTTTCGTTCGATTTGTTTGTTCACCAAATCTCAGGCTAACGACAAGGAAAGTAATTTACATTGCAATCTAATGTGAAAAGTATTTTATTTAGTGTATTTGCAAAGTGATTATGGATCACCATTGGTCTGAATAAATGGCAATACATATAAATAGTAAGTATATTTTTTATACAGAATTGTGAACGATTCAAGATTCTAAGTGTCCAACAAATAATATAATATAAATTATATCGGGCAATAAGTTAAAAAATATGATACGCATTGCTGAAAATGAATTTCGTTTTATGGTTCCGGTCGATTTCAACGCGTTTACCAGTCTAGTTCGTCACAGCCATGCATTCGTCCGAAGTGGAAGTGCGTTACTTATACGTTAACAAGGACTGCGGCTCAGTGGCGGGCGTGTGGCCATATGCGAACAAACAACGAAAATGGATTTGCCGCACAGCGATGATCTTCATCGCTATAACGTCTTTAATTACACAAGTGAGTTCACATTCAACAGACCCTTTTCTTCAGTAGGCTTCTACTTTGTTCATAGAATAATAAATACGAATACTTGACATAATTCTAATTAAAAATCCAATCGATTCTTGGAAATAATTTGATGTTAAAAGAAGAATTCATGCATGATCTATTGTGGTATGTCACCAGATAGCAAAAGTGATAATTGACCTAAGTGTCGATAGCTTAATCGAGCAGTGCCCGTTCTTAGTAATCGCTTTGGGCATAATCATAAAGGAAACCAATTACATCATACACGAGGAAGAGGTAGCGATATATGTATCGTCGGACATTTCCACTTTATCTAAATGAATAAATTCTTCCAGTTAAAATCAGTGTTCGGATTCCTGTTTAAAGATTGGATGATGGACAGACCGAAAGATGAATTTGACATAATGGATAAGTATGCCAAGAGGGGACTGTTCTTCTCTCGACTATATGTTGGTAAGTGCTTGACAGATTTTGAAAAAACTATCCCGATTATGTTTCTACTTACCAAAATGACGCAACCTTTGTGTCTCTGGCTATATCGAGTAGCAGTACTAAATGGCGCAACAGTTACGTTACCTTCTCACATGTACTAATTAATTTTTCACATTCAAAAATTCAATACACAATTTTTATTGCATCGCGTCCCGTCTCGTAACTAATTGCGCGTCAACTTAATTATATGCAATGTTTTCAAACACTTCGAAAATGGACTGTACAAGTTCGGATTGATGGGGCAAATGTTTCGATTAATTCTGCTCGAATTTTGTCAAGCTGGCCTTGTGAACATTTTAGGCGTTTTGCACGGGGGTGGTTCGATTTCTATTGGTCGCGCTTAAACAAGTGGGCGGTTTTTAATAATACTAGAAGCCTCTCTTTCCGTATAAAAGCGAGAGCTGGCCATCCCCAGACATGTGAAGTATTCGAAGAATCGACCGAACGCGGAAAGTTCGTCCAGGTGGTCGTCACATGGTGAATCGTTACAGTTGAACGCTTGCCCACTTACATATACCCTTCGGAACCTTAGTTAATGACAAGGTCGGCTATCGCGGAATAAAATGGAAACGTTAACCGAAAAAACTCATACCATACTAAATTAAAGAAACAATCGACGACGCTTGGAAATATCCTAAATCTTTAAAAATAGCCTTGTCCACAAGTATTTGTCATAAATTCTTCAACGAAATTCCCATGGATTTAATTGTTCCGTACGGAACAATTATTAAAACTTGTCTTCATTTTCTAATAGCGAACGGATGCTTTTGCTACATAATATTCACGCTCGTGGCCGTCACACCTCGCATCCTAGACATCGTCTCACCGAGAAATGAGTCGCGTGGCGTGGGGTTCATCTATCCGGCTTACTACGCCCTCGACGAAGAGGAACACTACTATATTATATTAGCACATATGCTTAGCGTAATAACTGTTACATTTTTCGTGTACATCTCATGCGACTCGATTTACATGACTATCATTCAACATGCCTGTGGACTGTTGAACGTGACTGGGTAAATAACTCAACTTTTAAACTGACTGAATTTTGAATCCAATATTCGTTGAGAATCGTTGCCTCCACAAATTTTTGTAATAGATAATCAGTGATGTAATTTGCACTAATTATAATACGAAATATGTTTACAGGTATCGTTTCTTGTCCGCGGTTCAAGATACCGATAAAAATGGGAACATGAAAGTGGCAGACGAAGAATATCAGAAAGTGTGCTTTTCTGTGAAAGCGCATCAACATGCGATGGAGTTAGTATGACTTAAATTCCATTCACTTACTCTCATTTCTTTTGAGTGGTATCCTTAAAATTTCTTATTGTTATAATATCTGAAACAGATACATTGGCATGATCGAACGCATGCATGACTCGTATCTCTTTCTGGTTGTGACGCTGATCATTCTATCGTTCAGCATCACGCTGGTAAAGGTTGGTCTTATTTTCTATCGTTGTACACAACGATTATGCATACGTACGTTAATGCATACATACACGGACACGGATTGTTAAAAACAGGCGACAACGATGGAACCTAGCGTAGAGTTCTACAAGTATTGCGGTTTCCTGGTGGTACAGCTCGTCCACCTACTTTTCCTTTCGATTCAAGGGTACTTCATTATTATGGCACACGACAATGTTTACAATAATATGTGCGTAATTATTATTTTCTCTTATTAAATTAAAATTAAGATTCAACGTCTATTTACTTTACACTTTTTAAATCGTTTTCACGACATTAAATCTGTTACTCTCTTGTTCATAAAATAAGAACTTTTTCAAACAGGTAAGAGAAATGGTTCAACATTTTTCAGAGGACAAAATGACTCTATGAAAACAAATTGTACTTCGTAATCAATTTTGATTAAGACGTAGTAATTGCAGATATAATGGTTTATGGTACCTCAGCACGGCTAAAACGCAAGCATTGTACGCGTTAGCATTAAGAAGAAACTTGACTCCACCTTTGTTGACCGCCGGTGGAATCATGACGTTGGACTTAGAAAGCTTCTCTGAGGTAACCGTAGAAATATTGAAGTAACGGTTGGCAATTTAAAATTGAGAACAAATAGAATTACAATACCTTTTCAGATACTGAAAGCGTCGGTTTCGTATTGTACCGTATTAAAATCGTCGTAAACGGTAGCCCACCGATAAGTACAATACGTAAGATTGTAAACTTATGGAATTATATTTCTAACATTGTCTAATTAAGCTGCACCGATAATTATATCCGGACATGATCGAATAGAAGTAATTGTGATAGAATTTAATGTATGTAACTTTATAAATTAATAAAATAGAAAAGTAGACATTCGTACTTTCACCATTTTCTTTTTTCTTTGGAGAGTTACACAGAAATCTCAACTCGTAGTAAAATAGCACGACTAATACTTCCCATTGCACCCAGCACTTCTACATCATTTTCTTAAACTCTACACTCGTCTGTTAATACTTTACTCGGAAATCAAAATTATTGAAATATATATGGAAATGAAAATGAGACGAATGCAACTAGAGAAAGCTCTCACCACGAAACTCTTCCGATTGTATTCAAAGATATCACTTATCTAGGAAAAGTGAAGTAACGAGAATTCATTAAAATTATATAATGTCAAAGCTGGCATCTCGCAGTTAACCATTCATATTTTATGCGTACCTGTCACTTTGAAATCAATCGTGAATAGATCTATATACGTATCTATTCCAAACCTTGCGTGTACTTAATAGTCAGGAAGCTATTGCCTCTGCTATAGAGCTCGATAACGATATCGACTAATGATGATTCTCGCGTAACAATTGGTGTTACGCGAAATCACTTAACACGATCAATGTTTCTGTCCTAACTTCAAACGTGATTCAGTTATGGATGTGGAACATGTGGAAAAACGGTATCTGAGAATTAACAAAACGCTTGGGGTGATAACCGGCGTCTGGCCGTATCAAAACTCCAAGATGAAAATAATCATGCAAACTTTTACCCTTGGTTTCATGTTCACGAGCGTCCTTACACAAGTACTTCGATTTTATTGACGCATATTCTTAAAATAGTTACTTACAAATGTTCTTTACTCGTTACGTGAAGAATAATCTCCGGATCGGTTATCCAAATTTTTTAACTATCGCATTTTCCATACATATTCAACAGTTTTGAGATGGACTTGATTTCTTAATATAATTACAGACTGCGTGCTATGTGTTGTTTCCTAGCGTGGACACAATGGTTGACGGCATAGCTTACTACATAGCGGCGATCGGGACGTTCGTGAAAGTAGGTAATTACGTGGTGAACGAATCGAAGGTAAGACGTGCGATATACATTTCCATCAAGCAAACAATATATTAGACAGGGTAAAAACTATAATAGTGTAAGTCATCTTTCGGCTAAGTTGAGACTTCTATAGCTTCCACGAGCTACAAATGCTAATACGTTTAAAGGAAAAATTGAATCAAGTCTTAAATCATCTCCCTTGCAAACTGATAGAGTACAATGTATATAGGCATGTTAATAAGATACCATTTTTCGAACCTTCTCATTCAGAAATAAATCGACTTACGCCACTATAACTTTAACCCTTTCATTTAAAAATGTAACTTGTCGAAAACGAAAGAAGCGGATGTTTTACTTTCGTGAACAGTACACTGATCATAGATTGATTATAAGCAGTAAAAATTATATTCAATAATTGCAGTTGAAATCGATGCTGAATCAAATATTCGACGATTGGGCAGCGATTGATTCGAAAGACGAATATGACATTATGGTTGCGTACTCGCGAAGGGGAGCGCTCATTGCGCTGGGCTATTTTCGTAAGACAGCATCATAATACCAATAAATTTTACTTTTCTTAGAAGTTTTTGACTAAGAGATTATTGCATTCGTTTACGCAAGGAATACCTAAATATAGTTCAATAGGAGTGATACTGCTCACGATACTGACATATTCTTTTAATTGATTGCAGTGCACCTCTTCTGTGCAGCAACATTTTTTTCTTGCTTCTGCATAATGCCAAGTATTCTGGACGTCGTCGTACCTCTAAACGAATCGCGGAAACGGCTGTTCATATATCCTGCCTACTACTGGGTTAATAGCGAAGAATACTACGTGCTGATAATAGGGCACATGATTATGATCTCCGGCCTCCTAGTCTGCATATTCTGCGCTTGCGATACGAACTACGTGTACGCTGTGCAACACGCTTGCGGTTTGCTAGCTATTACGAGGTAAACCTAACAAATACATCGACCACTCGAAATATTCAAAGAGACACCGATTTTTCCCAAATGATCGATCAACAGAATAATTGTTAAATTGAATCTCGTTCGCAACAAATCACTTTTATGACGAAGACAACGCGCTACAGATTTCAATGACCGCTTAACATGTTTATAGACACCGATTTAGAAACGTGTGCAAAAATTTACCCTCTCCCGACGAGGGAGATGACATAGAAATGTCAGAGGAAATGCAATATAAAAACGTGTGCCATTCAATTCAAGCTCATCAGCACGCTATAAAGTTAGTATTTCCATATTATCAAAATTTGGAGAATCACACATCTAATTCGAACGTTCTGATTCTGTCGATATAGATACCTGCAGATAATCGAAAACAGTCACCATACTTATTTGTTCATTTCAATGGGGATGCTTATAACAGCGGTCAGCGTCTCGTTGTTAAAGGTACAAATTTTTTGGTCGACCATATGCATTCCCTAGCTGTACAGTTTCGAAGTTGAATCAACCCCAGAGATGACAGAATTATTCTTTATTTAGTGAAATGATCGTTCCATTTTAGGTGGCAGAGAACGATCATCACTCGCAATGGATAATGTATTGCATGTTTTTACTCGCCCAACTGTTTCACGTATTCGTTTTAACCGTCCAAGGCCA